TATATATATATATATATATATATATATATATATATATATATATATGTGTGTGTGTGTATATATATTATACAGTATTCCCTTGCTATACATATATTTTATATACAGACATTAAGTAAATATATGAGACAGTTTAAAAAAGAAAGTTCTAGCAGATAAAAAAAAAACTGAAGACTGTTCTCCTCAAACCATTTCTCCTTTGAAACCCCAAATTTACCATTCCATGATTAATTCTTAAACTGTGGTCACAGGCCACAATATTGAAGAGCTGAACAGGTTCAATAGAAAATCATGTCAGTTTCTGTAAAGTCCAGTTAAAACCATCAGATAAAAACCATCACCATCAGTTCAATAGTGCTCAGTACAATACAAGACCACAGTGTTTCATTATGGTATTCTTACAGGTGCAATGTTTTTCCAGACTCTTTATTTTGGGTTGTTCGGAACAATTTTGGTCAGTTTGTGTTTTGTTAGTTCCTTTTTTAGGCCATTATTTTCTGGTTTGACTGAAGGATGGCTTGACTGAGGAGGAAAAAATAACAACTAGGTGTTTTATACACTAATCCATTCTGTGAGCCACTCTTTATCACATCATACACACATCAAGCACTAACAAAGCAGGTTAGATAACAGCTGTGTGCCAGCATTAACAGCTAGTATACAGGCCTTCATTTAATGATGCACGTTGACCCTAATAAAGGCTAGAAGCTGAAATGCATCAGTCTGATAGATGTTTTAACACTACAGGTGCTGCATAAAACTCTGCTTTCACTTCTCCCTGCACCCTGCTGCTCAGAGAAAATCCGTTATAAATTTCACCTTAAACACAACAGCTGGATTTTATTATGAAAGTATATATTAATATAAATGTGCTTGAAAATGGTAAATCAAACTACGTTTTCTGGTGTCTTCCCATGTGTTTTTCTGCTCTGCATCAAATCAGAAGGTGCTAATTTAAATTCCTGACTCATCATTACCTCATTTTCCAAAAATACCTTGAACAGGCATCAGAGAACAGACCTGTTGGGGGACCTGCTGATGCATATTAATTCGATGTCTGTCACCTGTTTGTTATGCAAATTGTTCATTTTAATGCCAACATTCTTCTGTCCATCACAGCAGAATGTTAATCACAAAATGTGCCATTGTGCTGGTGAGCTTCATTTGAATCCATTAACCCAACAGAAACTCCTCCAGTTGCCCTTACATCCTTCAGCTTCTTGTCCCGTGTGTCAGCCCAGCACGCTGACGATAATAGTCCTGGACCGGGTTTAATTACTATTTAACTGTTCTGTGTCCTAGCAAGTTAGGAGCTCAGCTTGGTGAAGACTACCTCGAGACAGCGACCTGTTTCTCTCCAGCAGTGAGCGGAGAGGAGAATAAATTGGGATGCCTGGCACAAGCCTGGAGGCTCAGTCTTGTTTTCGATCGCTCTGCTCCTGTAGAGGAGCGTGATTCGGTAGCACACTGTGCCAATGTTCCCACTAAAGAAGGTGCTGCGACTTTAGGACGCCAACACTAAGATATCTGCTACATCCGATACAGGCTGGCGGCAAAAAAATAAATAAATGAGGGGAATAAATTATTGTTTTCGCTAATGAGCTCTTAGAATAATAAAAGAGAAACTCTAATGTATTTCTGTATCAAATAAACATTAGTGCAGTAGTGTCACATTCTTCTTAAATTATCTGAATGTTGCATGAATGTAAGGTGTTCCTAAAGGATAGAAGTATTGATTATTAGGGTTTTATTTAGATAATAAGAACTGGTCACACCTGCACATGCTAAGACCCATCTGGAAACAACAACACTGAACACAAGCACTTTAAGCCGGGGGTCTATTTTCAGTACAACACCATGGACATGTACATATGATGATACTAGACCAGACGTGGGCAACATGGGGCTCAAGGGCCAAAAGTGGCCCATGGACAATCTCCATTCGGCCCCCAAAATCCTTAATTGAAAAGAAAACTTTTTTAAAAGTTGATGAAAACCTGCGGGCAGCACGGTAGCGCAACTGGTAGAGCTGCTGCCTCTCAGCGAGCAGGTCCTTGGTTCAAACCCCGGTCCAGGGGCCTTTCTGGGTGGAGTTTGCATGTTCTCTCCATGCATGCATGGGTTTTCTCCGGGTGCTCCAGTTTCCTCCCACAGACCAAAAACATGCATGTTAGACTGATTGGTAACTCTAAATTGTCCCTAGGTGTGAGTGAGAGAGTGAATGGTTGTTTGTCTCGTTTGTCTCTATATGTCACTGTGATGGACTGGAGACCCGTCCAGGGTGTACCCCGCCCCTCGCACAGTGATTGCTGGACATGGGCACCAGCGACCCCCGTGACCCAAAATGGAATAAGCGGGTAAAGATAATGGATGGATGAAAACCTGCATTTTATCCATGAAACTTAAGGACATTTTTATTAAATTAAACCTCTTGGACAAATGCATCAACAACCTTTAGATTAAGATAGGGTAACGTTTTTCTTAAGTTGTTGCGTTTTCAAAACTCAACCTTAAATGAGAAATGAGCACAAAAAGAAGAAATTATGTGAAAAAGCTGAAATTAGCAAAAAATAAATAAAATAAAAAAACCCTGAAAAGTAGCTAAAAAACAAAAAACAGAAAGAAGCTTAAATTGCAAGAAGGAAGTGGAGAGAGCACATTTTTGCTGAATTAAGCTGAAAAAAGTTTAAATGAGTCAAAAAATGTGGAATTAGCTGAAAAATATTAAATTAGCATAAAAACAGCTATATAGTAGCTGAAATAGAAGAAAATGCTAGAAAAGTTAGAAGCACAAAAATGTTTTAGTTAGCAGAAAGAATCTGAAAGGAGCACAAAACAGCTGAACACCCCACCCCAGCTGAAATGAGCTGAAAATAGCTGTAAATTTGTTTACATTTGCACAAAAGAAGCTGAACCAGAACAAAATGTGAAAGGAGCAGTAAAAAGCTGTAAACAGATTTAAAGATCTGAAGGAGGTAAAATGAGCTCAATTAATTTTCTTTGAGAAAAAAAAAGTGACAGAAAAGGCTAAATTTTTCAAAAAGCTCAAGTTGCACCAATACCACAAGTCATAGTACGGTTTTCATGAATGCTGAACATTTCGATCTATGAATTGTTGAAATAGCTTGAAAACTGCAGGACGAGAGACACGCCGAAAAACGTACGGAAGAAAAATGGATCACAATATAGTGTGATCATAAATATTCACACAATAATAAAAAACACTGTTTATTTACAAAAACTGTTTCCATGTGGACAGCTCCAAAGAATATGTACTAATAAAACAGGTATATATTTTAGCCACCTGACTTCTACATATCTGCATCTGCCATTAAAGAATTGTAATCAGCTGGCCTCTGCTCCAGGGTGTGTGAAACACCATCTTCAAGATAAAAGTGTGAGAATATGGTTGTGTAATTTATGTTTTAAGAATTGTACTGACTGCAATCATCTGGGCCACGTAGCTCTCAGGGCCGGTGTACTCAGTCGGATCCTTCACCCTCACCAGAACCAGGAAGTAGAGGTAGTGCCACATATTGTGCTCAGATTTGATGTGCTCCTCAAACGACACCGTTTTGTTGTCAAACTTGTCCCGTTCCAAACCTGGAAGACAGCAGCTTTCATTAACGAGCATCCTTCCAACCACGGGTTCTTTTCCCCCTAACTTGCAGAGTACGCAGCGTTACGCACCACAGATGAAACAGGTGGTTTTAAGGATCTCCTCTTTTCTTTGCTTCTCGCTTCTCAAGTCTGCAAACGTGTCGATGATCACACCGAAGATCAGATTGAGAACGATGATGATGACGATGAAGAAGAAGAGAAGGTCATAAACCACTCGAGCAGCAAACAGAGGCTCCTGAAGGGTTCAAATATATATATATATATTTTAAATCAACTCAACCGTTTCAGCAAACACAAATGGATATTAAACTTAGAAAATATAATTTGTCAATTCAAAATAGTTTCTAACCAATTTAGAGGGTTTCCTTAGGATATCTCCCACACCTCCTCCATTACGTAAACCCTGGTTCAACACGGTGATTATACACATGCGAAGAGTATCACACACACGTTCCATCCCATCATCTTCATCTATAACAAACACACAAAACACAACATGTTAAAGAGGGGACAACATAGATGACAAGCCTTATAAAAACATCAATAGACCAAGTTGAATCTTTAGTTTTGGCTGCCGAGTGTCTAAACCTGTATCACAACCAGAATATATTACAGAAGAATGATAACAAATGTATCGTTGTACAGTAGTCCCTCACTACTTTGCGGTTCGACTTTTGTGGACTGGCTGTTACGCGTTTTTTCAACGATTGTCAACTTTAATATTGACTCATGTGACTGGGACGATACGGGATGAAAAGTTAACAAAAGAAAAATAATTCAGGCAGGCGCCTCCATTTTGTTGTTTTCTTTAAATAAGCTTATACTGTAATGCCAGTCAAAGAACTACACTACCCAGAAGCCAACAGTGCTTACAGCCAAAAGCTTTCTGTCAAAATGGAGGGAAAGTTTTGATCTGATCCGAACCTGACTAAAAAGTTCGGTCCTTATTCAGAGTGACTTCAGCACTCAGTGGATGCAGAGAGCTGACCAGAACCGGACCAGAACCGGACCAAGGCTACTTCCAGCCTTAGCAGTTAGTCTGAATTCTGCTTGCTAGCGCAGGATGCCTCTCAAAAGCATCTTGGTGCTCAACGGCTGCAGAACCGGACCAAGGCTGGTGTGTATACCCATATATGGTGAGTTGTTGTAGGTAACCAGGAAAACCTGGAGTGGACTTTTAGTGGTTGGAGCATTCTCCTATTAAACAAGTGGAATGGATTTGTTCACGAAGAAATAGAAACAGCGCTGGGCGAACTAGTATTTCATGGTAAATTTTACACAGCATATTTTACATCGCTTCATAGTGTAACTGTTTTAGTTTCGTTTTTATGTCATTTCTTTGATTTACTTTTCATTTTATATGCTTTTATATGACTGTTTTTTGTTGTCTGTACTTCATCTGTGTTCTTTGTTTAAAACAGGTTTCTCTTGTTAATGAGTTTTCGAGGCTGAATGAGACTAACCTGTATAAATAAAGGTTGAATGAATATAAAATTTTGCAGTACTGTACAGTACATATATGAATGTTGTTAAAATTATGTAGGTTTAAGAGTTTAGAACATTGCAAGAGTGTGGGAAGGGTTTATAAAGACTTAAAATATATATAAATACTAAAATAAATATAGCGTTCCTACTTTGTAGTTTTTCACCTATCACGGTGGTGTGGAACGTAACCCACCGAAAATCAAGGGACTAATGTATCCCTAAAAAAGTCTTCTCATAGTCACTTTTCTTTTCTTTTATGATTTATTTAGCTATTTTGATTTAAAAAAAAAGGTCTTTAAATTTCATCTGAGTTACATTGAGAAGACATGCACTGAGCTTTACATTTTAAGAAAAAGATAAAGTCTAAAAGAGAAAAAATATATACTTATACATTCTGACAACTTAAAAAAAAAAAAGAAGCTATGATTCAGCTGCAAGAAGACATTGACGACAAAAAAAAAAAAAAATCTATTTCACTATTTACTTGTTAAGTGAAAGGCACAAATCCAGTGACTGGATGAACACAGCATGACGGCTGAGGAGGAAGAGGAGGTGAAGGTTGTGGAGGAGATCACGTGCGTGCCCCTACAGCGCAGGTGATCCATGGTTTCAGAAGTCTGAGTCACTCCCATCTGCCTCATCAGGTTTCTTTGTGTGCACGCCTCAGTGTGTGTGTGTCTGTGTGTGTGCGCAACCCTGTGTGTGTCTGCTTGAGTAACCTTTCATGGACTCTACAGCTGGAAATATCAGAAACACACTACGCTAGTCAAACTATAAAACTTGTTTTCTCAGCAGTGACTTTCTTAATGAGATAAAAATAAAAATAAAGAGTTAATTGGACGTAACAGAGCATTTACCAGGAGGTGAGGTGGAAGCTGGAGCAGCAGGGCAGCTGTCTTTAAAACACGAACGTGCGTCTCCACCTTTAGTCGATAAGTCGTGTTTTTCTAGAAGGAAAAACAAAACCGGAGGAACTTTATGTGTCGTTGTGTAGCTAGAACGGTATAGAACATGTCCACATGTAAAAAGTCTGATTTAGTTGTTTCCTGAATTAAAACATCCTACTGCTTATTCTAATCAGTGTCAGTTAAATCAGCAAGAAAGGTGTAGTCAGCCATTATGTAAAGTGAGGCAGCAGCTGCTGGGTGGGCGGTGAAGAGTTGCTAGAAAAAAAAAGAAGAAGTAATTTGCACATGGGCAAATCCCCAATCAGGAGTGATGTATCACTTGTGATCAGTTTGGGACAAACCTGACCAGAGTGTTAGTAAAAACATCTTCCTCCCTGACACCAACAGGTCTCAGAAACACACATCGATGGAGAAAAGGACAAAAAGCAAAATGCTTGATGAACAGTTTGAGGAGGTTAGGGGTCACAGCTCCACAGCTGCAGCACTGTGGACTGGATGCTCCTCAGCTTGGATGGAGTTTCTCGGCTCAGCCCTCAGCTAACACACAGACAGGCGTGAGCTCGGCTCGTTACATAACCCACCACCGTTCCGCTGTGCTCTGTTCAGCAAAACACAGGATGGCGCGGCCACCAGGTTATGCAACAGGTGCACATGTGCAGGCAGGATGTCTCCCTGATCGTCAGCTCATTAACACACCCACACGCTCCACAGTGTTATCAAAACATGTGTCTCGGGATGCACATATAGCATACTGCACATAATCGACACTATGTGGCGACTGCATATTCTCAGACATTAAAGTGGTTCCTTGAGAAATCACAGAAGTGCAAAGTCGGAACAAGTTTAAAAACAAAAACTTCAACTATCGTGGTCAAAGCAGGTCATGAAGTTTACTCAATCTGAGTCGATAATGAGTGCATTATTATGTTATTGCGCAATATGTTGCACGTTTCTGCCAGTACAGTAGTCTGCAGTACGTAGCTTCTTAAATTGATTGTTTCTGCAGAAGTAAAATGCTCTCTTTTGTAGATGAACAGATGCTGACATATATTCATCATTTAACGCGAGTTCCTCATTTTTCTGGACTGAATAAAACGTGCATTGAATTTAAGGAAATGCAAAGTGAGACGTCATTTAAATTTGACCCATCAAAATGAATGCGGTCATTTATTTACAGAATCAAATTTAACATCAAACATTTACATTAATTTGGCAAATTATGAAAATAACAACATAAGCAATCAATCAGGAAAAATCATACGGCCATGATTTTTCCGTTGCTGACATTTATAAAACTGTACAACTATGATCTTTTACCCACACGGATGTGAATAAGCACTTTACACAGACATTTCTAAATATCTGGGAGAATTTCTACTTCATAGGAAAGTTTAAAGATGGAAAGAAGTTTAGAGGGAGTAAAGGATGGGGTTTGAGGGAAATTGAATGGTCACCAGAACCGACACTCTCCATCAGAAGCCCAGCTCGCCTCAGTACGCTTGGTAGGAAACTTGACCCATTACCTCTCTGATGATAATCAGCAGATATGGTGTTCCGTTAACGCTACCGGTCCAGCGTCTCCTTAGAATGGCTGTTGCCCGTCAGAAGTAGTGGCGAGGCTCTGTTCGACACACATTCACCTCAGTGGAAAATGTTATAATCCCATGGAACTCGGAAGAGCTTTGTTGTCATGTCAGGAACTCCAACAGCACTCCATCAGAACTCCAGAACTTGAGTAGACCCTCACCGAACTCTACGCTCTCAGAACTCTTAGAACTCCGACAACTCTCCAACTCTGTGTCTCTGTGAGTCTGTGTAGACCAGGAAGTACTGACATTTTAAAGACTCTTTCCCGGTTCACTTTTTGGGATTTTTCATTGGTCAGAAACGACCAGAAGGGGTGTGTTTTTGTGACGTAAGGGGTTAGAGACAGCGAGAATTGTTATGGGACAGCTCAGAAATGTTCTCACAGACCGAGAGGGTTCTGTTTTGACGCGTCTAAGAAACAGGTGCAAAACATCTCTATTTACGTCTGAGAGGATTCTAAAACATGACAGTTTTAACATAACAACTTGTTTTTCGTTTGACTGTAACCTTGTAAACGCACACACTTGCTCATTCAAAAGCAGAAATCAGAAAAATGCATAATTACTCTGCAACAGCTTTTAACATGAGAATAAAAATCATTACTCAGTTAATAAAATTGATTAGTTCACTGCAACATCTAAAATGGTTTGAACTAAGACACTTTGATTATCAACATTTGTAAGATAGTAATGATAATAAAAAGAGAGTGTTCTTTTCACTTGAATCTTCAAGAAAGAAAGTCTCAGGATGGGTGAACCTGTATCTATGTATTCAAATACATGAAATGACAGTTCCTGTCCCACCAGGTTCTAAAGGTCAAGAGTTTTGACCTTAGACTTAGTTCCGACGTAGGCCTAGTCCACTACACTTTAAATGTGGATTCTTTTTCCAAAGAGAACAGATAAGGGGTGTTTGCATTTTTTTTCTCATACAGTAGATCACCACAACACCTGCTTGAAATGTTCCACTTTTGTTTCCGTCTCCACAACCCGTTCTACCCAATGTATTTTTAGTAGCACAGCTTCTTCTTCTTTGTTTAAGGTGTAATGAACTTTTCATGAAAAGATATTGTGCAAGTTTGTGACATAGTGAGACGATCAAGTAAGACGAAAAAAGAATTCATAAAATTGAAGCAATGTATGGAACCCAACTAGTGCCAAACAGAAATACTTGTTACTGTAAATACTTTATAACTCAATAAATTAATTGACGCTGGAATTTAGTTTGCCAATTGTGTGTCGATGTATTTTATGGAGCCAATATAAGAAAAAAAGTGATTTCCTTCCTTATTGTTCTTAAAGGGAAACTTCACTTCCAAAGTACATTAAAAACAGACGGATAGTCTAAAAGTCTTTTAAAGGGAAAACTTCATATCTTACTTATTTTTAACTGTGCATTAAAATTAAATAACTATAAACAAATATATTAAAGTTATGATACAGAAATAACTATAAAATAATCATCATTAGGCATGTGATATTATTTAGGCCTAATTATTTAGTAATAGTACTTGTATTTATGCTTTAAAAAAATAAAAGCTAATGTTATAAAATGTTTTAAAACCTTAATGCAGTGAAACCGAGGTATTTTTTTGTTCAAAGTGGAAGTCAGAATCCCAATTTGCTTGACTTTGGTGTTTATGTGCAGCAAAGTTTCTACTTCTGGAGCAGCGATGAGATGGGTGAGGTGGTGGATTGTTAACAAGTGAACATGGTCCAAGTTATGAATTGAAAGATTAGCGACCATCAGAAGCATCCAAATCTAGTCATTAAAACATCTCTAAAATGATCTGTAGTGTCGTCAAATCACACCAAACACATAAGGGCGCTGTGGCTGAGTGGTTAGAGCAGTCGTCCTCCAATGCAAGAGGTGAGGGTTCGATTCCACCAGTAGTCACATGCTGAAGTGCCCCTGGGCAAGACACCGAACCCCTCATTGCCTCTGATGTGTGTCCCATCAGTGTATGAATGTGATAAAGCACTGATTATTCTTAGTAGAGAGCTGTATGAAAGGGTAAAAGAGGGCACAGATTGTGTTGCAAAGCACTTTTGACGATCTTGATAAGATAGAAAGATATATAAGTACAGTCCATTTACATTTATATCACATAACTCATTCCTCTTTAAGTTTTCCCTACAGTTAAAACTCAAGTTTGAAGATCTTTGATGCTGAAAGTGGGAATTTTTCCCTCTTTCCAACTTCACAGAAAATGCGATTAACGTTCTAGTCCAAGTTTTAAAATATAATGTGGTCTACATATTGTTTATTACATTAAAAGGAATTAATTTGACTGCCGCATGCTGGATTAGTGGCTAGCACAGTTGCCTTACAGCAAGAAGGTCTTAGGTTCGATTTCCAGTTTGGGCCTGAGTTTGCATGTTCTCCTTGTGTTTGCACGAGTTTTCTCCAGGTACTCCGGTGTCCTCCTACAATCTAAAACATGCATGTTTAGGCTGCCTTCAGGCTCGGGCCTCCCTTTTAAAGACATCTGTGATCTCAGTGGGAATTTCCTGGTTAAATAAAGGTCAAAGAAAATTGTTTATGCAGTTTTTATTTCTATACCTGGCTGGTCTCCACAGTGTGGTAGGTTGAAGAGCAGAATCTTAAAGAAAGGCGATTTAATATTCTTAGTGCTTGAAGAATAATTTTAAAAAGTTTGATTCTGACCTGGGAGGCGGTCCACTTCCATGCGAAAGTCATCCTTGAGGAAGAGGAAGCCGATAATGGAGAAAAAGTAGACGAGGAAGATGGCGAGAATGGCCGTCAAAAATATGGACCGGCCATTCCTTGTGACACTTTTTATCACGTTCAGCAGCGTCTCCTCTCGGAACACCAAGTCAAACAGCTGCAGATGTAAACCATCATCAGTGAATCCCGAACAGTAACAAAACCTACGTTCTTTAATAATTAGTTTGTTGATGTGAGGAGGAATTCTTACCAAAATGCTGTAGAAGAACTCGTGAACAAAGAGGCCCAGGACACAGATGAAGGCGTAACCCACATGGCAAATAAAGAACACGTCCATCACAACGGCTTTGTAGCCTCGAGTGAATATTCCCTGGTTGCCCACAAAACTCACAAGAAACACCAACTTGTTGAAGAGCTGAAAACAAAGAAGGACAAAGCGTAGAGATGAAATCTAGATTCAAAAGTTTAATGTAATGAACCACTGGGCCTGCAAATCTGGGGCTGAAAACAATTTTTACTTACATTTATAGTGCCGAGCAACAGCAGAGCGGGGGCCAGGCCCATCGTGTAGATGGCTCGCAACAGGAGGGAGATGAAGAAGAACACGATGCCCCACTGCATCGGGAGGACAGGAAGTAGGGCGGTGGAGACCCCGAGTGCCACCCACAGTAAGATACTCCAGAAAGGGGACAGAATGCCTGGGTGAAAGAATAAATCATTCATGTTAAGGTTTGAAACTTGTCTGTTCTTGACTAAATTATTCACTCAAACTAAGAGCTTAAGTGAGCGCACGCTGCTGAAGGCAACGTGTCCAACAGTCCAGGGGGACCTTGTAAACCGAGCAGGGGAGCGAGACACAGTGCTAACTAAGAACAAGAATTTTCAGTAAAATACCAACAAGTTTTTCTTCATCACACAAAAACAGGTAAATAAAAACAGATGTTTCCACCAAACCTAAATGATTTTTAGACCACAGTGTAAAACTGGGCGGAGCCACTAGGACAAAAAGTCGATTAAAGTCCAAGCGCTGGCACATCAAAGGGTGGGAATAAAGAATAAGAAGAATAAGAACGCTGTCCACACCTAGTTTTTCCTGAGCAGAGGTCAGATTAGATGCATCAAGGGAAAAAAGTGTGGTGCGTTTAACTAATAAATAATTATACAGTCATTTTCAGGTGTGGGCACACTGTGATAACAAGAAAATATTAACAAAGCAGACAAATAAGTAATGTAGCGTTGTTTAAGGATTCAAGGTTCTTTATGTGTCATTCGAACCACATGTGGTGGAATGAAAATTGTGTACACAGGGTCCCAGTTACAGCCAACAAAAGTATAAAAATGTAAAAGAAAAACAGTAATGATAGGAACTAAGAAAAACATTAACTAAAAATACACTAAGCACTAGTAGTACAAAAATAATACGCCAAACTGCATCACGAACATGAGTCTTTGTGAGCAGATGAGCACGAATGAACACAGTAACTTGAAATAGATCAGCAGCAACATGAAACAGATCAGCAGCATCATGATGTGATTTTTCACAGTGATTATCCTGGTTAGATGTTCATGAGTCTAACAGCCTCAGGGTAGAAGCTGTTCCTCAGTCTAGTGGTTCTACACTTAATGCTCCTCAACCTCCTGCCTGAGGGGAGCGGGGCAAAAAGTGTGTGCTGGGTGAGTGTGGTCCTTCATGATGCAGGTGGCCCTCTTCCTGCATCTAGAGGTGTTGATGTCTGTGATGGTGGAGGAGACTGACTCCAACAGACTTCTGTGCAGCCTTCACCACTCCCTGCAGAGATTTTCTTTCTGCAGATGTGCAGCCTAACCTAGAGGTCTTTACTGCACTCTATTACTACTTTAGGGCCCCACTTGTTCCAAACACTCAGTATATATAAAAAAAAAAGCTAGTGAATTACAATTAGCCAGACACAACAGAACAAGCTGAAGGAAAATAACTTCTTGGTTTAAAGTTCTGTTTTATTCTCACTGTTTGGACCCAAAGCAGCTGGATTTAAAAACACTCATTTTAGGACGTTACATGAAGATTGTAGTCAGAAAAGAAGGGGTTAATATGTGATTGATTAAGATTAATTTAACTGGTTATTTAGGTTAAAGGCTAGGTGGTAAACAGTTTAAAAAGGAACCGTGAAGTCTGGAGCTATCCATCTGAACTGCACTGGGTTTCAGCAGATGCAGTTTATTACTGGTTGCATAGATTGATCAAAAAACAGAAATGCTTACCTTCATCTCCATCATCCCCAAAGGGGTAGAACACAGCCACAGCGGTGTTGAGGATACAGGCCAGATAGAAGGAGATACTCCCCCAAAGAGACATGTGGCGCGAGAACCAAAACAGGGCCTTGTTTTCTGAGTAGAATAACAAAAAAACACAATTTGGTGCAGAATCAGCACAATTTAATGGAGCTGTGCTGCTCGCAGCGGTTCAGCCACAGTCACTTGTCATATCTAGACTTACTGCGAATCTTCTTCTGCCACTTCATCTCACTGTAGAGGTTGTCGAACTGATGGAAGAAGTCGTTCACCTTGCTGCCTTGGTCGTCTCTCTCGGTGGTGGTGAACACGCGCATCTTGGACTCCTCGGTGAGGTACTTGCAGATGTTCGGGACTGGAAACACGATCTGCTCCATACTGCGGTCAAGACGCACAATCTGAAGGGAGAGAAACTGGTTTGCACCAAAAGTCTTCGAAATGACTGGGATGAAGGGAAAACAGCGATGCTTACTTCTATCTGAGCTGTGTGCTTGGCGTAGTGATGAAGAGCTTCGTCCTTCTCAGCATCCAGGCCTGATCTCGACCCGGGTCTGAGGCTCTGCTGCAGGGACTTGTTGTGTCGAGCCAACTGAGATAAAAAAATAAACCCTGTTTGTTTATGCCGCGTTATATTTAAAGTATGTCCTCCTAGTTGTGTGAATGTTTATGAAGCATTCACACTTTTGTGATCCATTCTTCTTCCGTACATCTTTCTCGTTCCACAATTTTTCTGCTATTTCAACAAATCTTATATCAAAACGTTCAGCTTGTTTAGGAGAAGGGTGCTTTGACTTTTGGTATTGGTGCAACTTTAGCTTTTTGAAATATTTTGCATTTTCTGCCACTTTTTTTCTTAAGAAAATTAATTTAGCTCGTTTTACATCCTTCAAATCTTTGGATCTGTTTACAACCTTTTACTGCACCTTTCACATTTTGTTCTGGTTCAGCTTCCTTGTGCAAAGTTTAACTTTTTTCAGCTACTTTCAGCTAATTCCAGATGTTTTTTTCAGCTGTGTTGTGCTCCTTTCAGCTTCTTTCTGCTAACTAAATAATTTTTGTGCTACTTTTAACTTCTTTCTGTTAATTTCAGCTTGTTATGCTCCTTTCAGCTTTTTTCTGCTATTTCAACTTCTCTTTATCCATTTTTATGCTAATTTTAGCTGTTTTGGCTAATTCTACATTTTTTGCACTCCTTTCAACTTTTTTCAACCTAATTCAGCAAAAATGTGCTCTCTCCACTTCCTTCTGGTAATTTAAGTTTCTTTCAGAAATTTTTAGCTAATTTTTGGCAGTTTTTTTTCTAATTCCAGCTTTTTCAGATAATATCCATTTTTTGGTGCTTATTTCTGATTGTTTCAATCTAACTGGGTAAACGTGCTCTTTCTGCTTTTGTCTGCTAATTTAAGCTTTCCTACCTTTTCAGCTACTTTTCTTTATATTTTTAGCATTTTTCAGCTAATTTCTGCAGTTTTCAGGTAAATTCAAGTTATTTTTGGTAATTTCTGCTACTTTCAGCCTATCAGTAATTAAATACTTTCTGCTAATTTCATATTTTTTCTGCTAGTTTCCACTTTTTCTGCTATTTCAGCTACTTTTTAGCTGTTTTGTGCTAAATTTGGCATTTAAACTAATTCTACTTTTTTTTTTTTTAGCTCATTTCACCTTCTTCCACTTTCTCCTGGTAGTTTAAACTTTGCAGCTATTTTTTTTTCCTATTTACAGCTTTTTTAGATAATTTCCTAATTTTTGTGCTCATTTCTGCTTTTTAAAATCTAATTTAGCAAGTATTTGTTCTTTCAGCTTTCTTCTTCTAACTTAGGCCTGTTCTTTAGTTTTAGCTACATTTCAGCATGCTTTTAGCTAATTTCAGCTGTTTTTTAGCAAGTTTTTCAGCAATAAGTATCCACACTGCATTTTTGCAGGAAATGCAATTTCTATAGATTAAGTTAACATGCTCTAAAACAAATGTCTTTGTAAAATGACAGAGCATAAAGGTTCAAATTACTGGATAAATATTTCTTATTACATTTTAAAAGAAAAACTGTAATTAAAAAAACATAAGAACAGTATTGAAATTTAAAATGCATGCATGTTTTTAAAGCGATGCCTATTATAAAGTTTTTTTTAAAAGGTTTATTGAAGAGTGCGGTTACATCCTTGTTGCGTCACCTCGATTTCACAATCAGACAAGTTTTTTTCATGAAACCTCCCAAATGATTTGTCACATTAGACTGACAGCTGTAAATCTAGACAATATGAGATAAGTTATGACTTTAAAAAAAATCCAATAAATCATTAAACTGTCTGAAATTAAGATTTTTTTTTTAAATTAAATATGTAAATAAGATTAAATAAAATTAAAACTAGCTATTTTGATTAACTTTCTTTTCCTCAGAAAAAAAAAAAAAAACCCTGAAAATTTGTCTAATTTTGGAGAAAAATTTAGATAAATATTTAATAATTTAAAACTCATTTTCAACATTTGGTGTTTGGCTTGATAACATAATGATATTTAATGTTTTATGGTTCATATCTACGCATCTAAAACTATGTATTTGGCAGCACATTTAAAAGTTAGATGTATATCTAATTTAAAGTAATTTTTGAAAAGTATCATATTTTAAAATATGTGCACAGTAAAAGGAAAAAGAAGCCTATAAAATTAAACATTCAGAATAATCATTCATTTTTATGATTAGCTAAAAGTGAGATTTTTAAGTCATTTTTAAACAATTAAAGGAAAGCTTTTGTTAAAGTTTGCACATTACGAGTTGATTGTTTCTTCCTCCAATCGATTAAAAGAAAAACTAAAACGTTCAAAAATGTCTTCTGTTAAAACAGTTCTGGGCAAACACAGACCTGCCTGACATTCAAAGGCAGGAGTGAAAAGCTGCTAGCCTAGACTCTGTCTGCACCGTCCAGCTTACATAAACCAGTGTCACATTATGAAAACTAATTTTAGAAAACTGTCAGAGCAGCTCATCTGCAGAGCAGCAGCCTTCCATCATTTAATGGCTCTGGAGTGCACAACCCCGGGGTCAGTCCAGGTCTATACGGACACACAAAAGGCTGAGTCACAAGCTCAACGGTTCTGAACCAACCTGGTGGGCCAGAATATAAATGTTGTGTCCAACATCTCTGGGTGCGATTTCATCTCCAGCGCTCTCCTCGTTATCCTCAGTCCTCCAGTCCTGGGCGTAGGCTTCCTTCATCGCGTCCACCTGAAGCACACGAGTTAAATCAGAGATTAAACAGAGAAGAAAGCATTCAAGATGCTTTACCAACATCTCAACTCTCATCAGTTCTGTACCACACCACACCAGTTAAAGGCTTGCCCGCTGCCAGTACCCACCCCCACTCTGCCCAGTTTATGGGACCACCTTGTTTGACGTTCCAAGCGGACTGCTCTGGGGTGATAATTTTGACATAAGCAGTCAGCAGCCATCACTGGATGGCCCGTCCAGCAAAACTGCAAACTACATCTGAACCTCCACTTCCTCTCTGATCGTGTTGACGGACGGCGCCACAAGAAATGAACTTATTTACAGCAATCAGATGATGGCACAACATGGCTACACCCGGACTTATAAGAAGTGCCAAAATAAGATAAAGAAATTCAAGTCAGATTGTAGGACGATTAAGGACCACAACGGGCGGAGTGGCTTGAACACAACAACCTGTTACGATCCTGCCCACAGAGCGGAGAAACAAGTCATAGTGGCAAATCACCTCCACCTGAGAACAGGGCTTAATTTGAGCCGGATCCTGCTGGAACAGGATCTGAGAACACTCTTATTTTGACAGGGTGTGTTCCGGTAACTGTTTGCTTGGATCCAGTAACTCAGGCTTACTAATAATAAAGTTATGAACAAATATGACTGCCTTGAACAAATAAAACCCATATTGGATATGTAAACTGAAACTAATAACATAAACATTAATTTTAAACACGACATCTAGCTGCCTCTTCAAGTAGCATTTCCACCTTGACCCTTAAAAAAAATCTTCACCCCCTAATAGTGGTGGGGGTGAGTGCTGAGCTAACCAGGCAGTCATACGTGGGCAGGACCAACAGGCAGCCATGACAGATGGAGGAGTCGGGTTTGGAACCGTCAACAATGGGGGAGCGGGGAGGATGCTTGACAGAAGCTGAGTGTTTAAAATGTAGGTAAACGTAGATGTTAAACAACCTGTTAAAATAGACCACAATGCAGGAAATCGCATCTACATTATTCAAAATTTTCTGGGGGAGAATCTGCCTGCGTCCCCCCCCAGTGATCCACCTACTATTTGTGTTCCGGCATCGAACAGTTTACAAATTAAGCCATGCCTGAGAAGAACCAATTAAACCAGAGTGGAGTGGCACTTGTCAATGGCAAAGCAGCTTTAGATTTCATCCATTGTTAATCCACACATACCAGTTCAATAGGTCTCATCTTGTAGAGGATCTTCTCTGCATTCTCGCTGTCATGGCGGCTCTCCATGATGGCCAGAAGAAGTTTGGACGCATTGTTCTACAACATCAGATTGAGTTTTCATACTTGTTTTTAAACAGAGATCACAGAGGTTCTCCAAAAAAACAAGATGTTTTGACATATTTCAAAAAGGATGGATGAAATTCACTACATTAATTTTGTTCTCAGTCTGAATCGCATGGCCAGAAGGCCCCTCAGTGATTTCAGAGTCACCTGCTCCTCACCTTCAGCTCCAGTACCAGGTCCAGTCGATGCTCCCCCAGGGGGTTGATGGGATTGACAATCAGTGCTATAATAATGTCGATACCATTGGACTCGTGCTTGGCTATGCAGGTCTGGAAGACAGCAGGAGTGTTTAAACACGGCGGATCGAACCAAAACTCGTCGTTAGAAAAGAACGTGCACTCAGTCAAACTGTGAACTGAAAGTTTATGAAGAGAAACGTGCCTCCAAAAAGGTTGAGGCTTTTTGCTCAAACCTTGTTTATGACATATGACATATAGTAAAATATAAGCTCTGGTACTGCTCGGAGGACGTGTTCAGAAGGACTCTCAGCTACCACCACATCAGATTTTAGATCAATATCTGTAAATCTGATGAAGTTATAGTTTTGGCTAAAGATGATTATTTGTGGCGGCCATCTTTAATTGGTTCGACTCAAAGTTAAATCAGTTGTAGATGCTCATCCTCTGTTTGGTTTCTGAATGTGATTCATGAGATATTTTGCTAACAGAAGACAGGGTTGAGCTAGCTAGAGTGGAACCATAACTGAAGTTGATTTGTGCCTTCCTAAAACAACTCAAACATTTTATAGCACTGCTGTCAGTTTGGCATTACATAAATATTCTGACAGACCTATACATTTTCTGCTAAACATGCTGAAGCTAACTGCTGCCGTGACTGATTTTACTTGCAAATGACCACAAAATTATTTGTAAATAACTTAAATTTATCACAACTTAAGGTATAAAACCAAAATAACACCTAATTTCAGGTTTCATGTAGGTCTATTGACAGAGTAACGCTTTAACTACCTGGTTCTCATGGCAGGGTCCCTGGCAGTACTCTGTAATGGTTTCCAGTGTTTGGCGCACCAGATCCACGTTACACTCGTTGATATAAAGTCCCAACAAACCAAGACCTCCTGTGGTGCTCCCACAAATGCAGTCCAGGAACTGAAGAGTCTCACACACCAGGTTGTAGTTGGTCTTGTTGCACTGCTGGCGCAGAAAGTTCTGAAGAGCAGAAAAAAAAAACCAAAAAGTCAAACGGTAGTCGGCGTTGCAGAACTTCAAAACGTTTTTCATGAGACCCGACCCAGTACCTGCAGGTCTGGGTTGTGGTTTTCGCAAAGCAGCTGGAGGTAACGAAGGACTGGTTTCATGATGGCGATGACCTGGCTCATCTGGGTTTCCTCTGAAGTCTCCTCGGTGCTGATTATCTCACTGCTCTGGCCAAGAGCCTCAAGATCGGAGACTATCTCCTTCCTGTAGGAACGGAAGGCCCTTGAGGTCACTGAACAGGCCTCCTTCAGCTGTCTTTCCATGCCTTCCGTCATATGAAGGCCAGAGTCTTTCCCTACAGGACAGCGCACAGAGAGAGTAAAAAACAATACAATGTTTAACTTCTGGGATCTGACAGCAGATGGATCTTTGAAAATTGACACAAAGAAACACGAGCAACATATTTTTTGTTTCCATGCACTGGGTAATGACTTTCCAGTGGTAATACAAACAATGAATCTAATTTAGAGACTCCTTTGATAAGTGAGGCACGATTAAGAAGGGGTTCTGTGGCATGAAACCACCCGTTCTTGATACAATGGGCCTTTGATAAGCTTGTGATGCCGGGTGTCACATGGCCTCTGACATGTGACTGCAGCAGTCTGTCAGCAAAGCAGCCAAGATCATTTAAAAACACCACGGCTGTTTTCAACCTGAGGACAACATGAACTTCAGGACCCCGTGAGCTGAAAAGCTTTAATTGATTTTAAGACGTTTTAATCCGTCCAGGTGTTTCTATGGCAATGCCTGGCTGATTTCAGGATATGACCCATGTGACTCAGTCATTTACTAATAAATGTGGACATTCAAGTACCTCTTATTTCCAGATTAAGTTAAATTATTTCAGTTTCAGCCACTCTCTAACATTCAGTTTGAACCTGATCAATTATTAATAGACAGCAAAGTTTAGTTGCATCATTATTTCAGCCTACCTTTCTTCATCCTCCTGCTATTGGCATCGCTGTCGTAACTTTTCCTGCAGCCGACTTCAAACATGTTGACGGACACGGTGGCTCGGATCTCCTGCTGGGCCAAGCGCATTCGATCGTAGAAAACTTTGAAGAACTTCTCAGAGTTGGCCTGCTTGTGCAGCTGGTTGTGAAAGGAGTTCTGGTTGGGAGGCAGCGCGGTGGTGAACACAAGTGTCCAAAACATGGAAGAAACTATTAAGATAGGTAAGTCTGTGGAGCCCACCTGTATCTGCGTGTTTCCTCCCTGCAGAAGAGCGATTCCCAGCAGGATGCTCTCCTCGAACACCTGGTCGTTCTTGGTGTTGACAATGAGATCGATCACCAGCTCTGTCGCACCCACACTGTCCAAGAGGCACTGGATCTCCACCACACTGCTGCCTGGCTTATCAGAATCCTGCACGGCAGAACCTTCAACGCAGAAACAAAAGTAAAGATTTAAAATGCTTGTGCAGGAAAAAGCTGCAATTAGACAAGCTAAAGATGTTTATTCTACTGGATAGTCTGAACCGCATGCAAAAGTTTGGGTAAAGTTTGCATGAAATTACTTTCACAAACTTGCTAAAAATAATCAGTTACTGGTTTCATCAGTTATTACAAATACCTGTTCCTCAACTATAACGTGACAGGGCTTAGTAAAGTGTTTTCAGGTAGTTTTCTCTGCCCGTTTCTACTGACAAGTAACAAAATGTTTGGACGTCTAGTTCATCTCAATAAAATGTTCACAGAATTTTCATTTGACCATTTACGAGATAAAGTTTGAAGAATTTCGAACATTTCATTGCAATGACATAAAGATTGATCACCAAAAAAAAAATCATAAGAAACAAAATCCACAGTTTTACTATCATATTTTTCTTTAAATTAAAAATTTAAGAACAGCTGCCAACCATGTGTTTGTTTACCTACAGAAACAGTTGAAATGGATGAAAACAGATCAACAATGGCAACAACGTCCATGAAAGATCAAGAAGTTTGACAAATTTGATGCATTTGGCACATACAGTGTTCCCTCATTTATCACGGGTGTTAGGGACCACGCCCATGATAAGTGAAAAACCGTAAAATAGGGATACAGTAGTCCAAGTAGTAGTAGTTATAAGTAGTAGTTTATTTTAGTATATCTATATCTATATATATAGATATAGATATAGATATATAGATATAGATATGAAGACATTATAAACCCTTCCCACACTCTTGCAATGTTCTAAACAATGTTTCTAAATCAGGGCTATTCAAATGGCGGCCCGCGGTTCATTTCTGGCCTGCAGGTGACTTGAATCCGGCCCACTTCATAAAAAAAACAAAAAACTTTTATTTATTTATTTATTTTTGATTCTGGGTTTAAGTTCTTTTTTATTGCATTTATGAATCAATGCAATAAACTAAACAAATTTAAAAGGTAACAGATCATTGTAAACTTTGGTTTATTTACATGATATTTTACATCATTATCTACACCTCCAGATGCAGGAAGAGGGCCACCTGCATCATGAAGGTCCCCACTCACCCAGCACACACACTTTTTGCCCCACTCCCCTCAGGAAGGAGGTTAAGGAGCATTAAGTGTAGAACCACTAGACTGAGGAACAGCTTCTACCCTGATGCTGTTAGACTCACGAATCTCTAACTAGAATAATCACTGTGAAAAACCATATCATGTTGCTGCTGATCTGTTTCATGTTGCTGCTGATCTGTTTCAATGTTGATGTGTTCATGCGTGCACATCTGCTCACAGACTCATGTTCATGTTTGTGCTGATGTTCAATGTTTTTATGTTATGAGTGCTTAGTGTATATTTAGTTGATGTTTTTCTTAGTTCATATCTTAGATGTTATTACTGTTTTTCTTATACATTTTATTGTTGGATGTAACTGGGACCCTGTGTACATAATTTCGCTCCACCACATGTACCACATGAGGTGCGAATGACAATAAAGAAACTCTGACTCTGACTCTGATGATATTTTAATCGCTGGATGTCCAGCCCCCGAGCTGTTGGCTTTCAGAAACTTGTGGCCTTCTGAGCAGTTTTGTTGAACAGCCCTGGTCTAAACTCTAAACACTCTAAAAGAGCACAGCATGTCATGATTTCAGCTCTCTGCCTCCTGCTGCACTCTGCCAGCTGCAAGCGGTTTCAGGCACGCCCACTTCTCTGGCGCAGAACTGAGATATGACGCTGCATGAGGAAGCCTCTACTGCAGCTGTGGTGCTGCACACAAGTGCTAAATCATTTTAAATAATTTATTTTAAATACAAATTCCAAGTCAATCGTGTGACTCATCCATTAATCAGCCAATTGTGTGTCAAGTCCAATCTTATTTTGAAAAACCGCAATAGAGACTGTGAAAAACGAAGCGTGAAGTAATGAGGGACTACTGTGCACTGTATATATTCAGATTTAACAAGTAAGCAGGAAAAAAGAGCTTTGTTTACATTAAGTGCATACTTGCATTTCAGAAATCATTATAGTGGGAGTAAACTTTGAAAGTGCACCATTTGATAAAGTTCAGGATAAACTTTTTAATAATTTCATAGTTTGTAATGAGTGCCTTTAAAAACACCAACTGTGAACCACGGGTTTGAACTTGTGTTGCATCGGGAAGAAAGTCAAACATTAAATCCCATTCTAAAACTAAGACAGACAGACAGACGCCCTCTGCAGCAGAATACCAGTGGTGGACCATCAGGGCCAGCAAAGCCTTCTCTGCTGGTCTAAACACAATCCAAATCACCAAATTACATTTTAGTATATTTTTTCTATTTATTAATATCATTCATTTGGGGAGTGGTGGTGCATAGGTTAGAGAGGTAGGCCTGTGATAGGAAGATCGCCGGTTCACGCCCCGGAACCGACAACATCAAAAAAATGTGGGTGGGGTAGGTGAAGCACCCACATTTGCCCCTACCCTCATTCGCCCCACTATTGGCCCATGAACAAGGCCCTTAATCCCTCATCTGCTCCCTAAAAATAAAACAGGTCTCTCTTGAAAATGAGTTCTCGTGGCTCAATGAGACTACCTGTATAAATAAAGGGTAAATGAAAAAAATAAAATAAAATAATAATTCTGAAACATCTGTTCTCTTCATTTCATAGTTTTTCTCCAAGTTGCACAACTTCTGTATATATGGAGCTTTGATCCAATCATATTTCAACCATCCTGTATTGCTAGGGTCAAAGAAATCTGCCTCGAGGCCTTCAGAACCAACAGTGCATGCATCTGTAGGTTAAAACAAACGGCAATGAAACTGTTGCTTTGACCAATCAGATGTTGAGTTGGCGACACCAGGGTCTTCTAGCAGGCATTAGACAAAGTCAGCCTTTTCACATCGTTTGATTGGACGGTCAGAGTGTACTGGTCGGCACTAGGAAACAGAGCCATATTATTCTGCGTTTCTGTGTATTATTGATGGTTTCTGTAGCTGTGGCATCATAACGACAACACGGAACACCAGTGAAGGCTTAGGTTTAAAATGAACGGCCTTCCACTGCAGATTACGGATCCTAAATGCAGCTGAATATTCATCGACTCTTTGAAGGAGTGCATGTTAAAGTTATCATTGGTGCCAAACCAAAGCTCTGTAAACAGAACCTAAAATGGCTGAATTTGATTGACCAGAAGCATTTTGCAGAAATCTGAGAACAGAAAGAACAGAAAAAAACTGTTACATGAAGTGTTTATAAGCCGTGACAAAGAACTGTTATTATGAACTGCTGACCATGCTGGATGCGCCAACTTTTTTTGTTGTTGTTGCAGTTTTATTTAAAAAAAACACCCCCCCCCCCCCCCAAAAGGTAATCTTTAAAATAATAATGAACAGATTTGTCTTCTTTTGTTTTTAATCTTTTTAAAATCAAACTACAATTAACTACTGACAGGAGGACATGTTTAAGAATCTGACTATTTTTGCATGCCTCAGGATATACAGCACTTTGGTTGGCTTTGTTGCTGTTATCAAGTGCTTTATAAATAAAGTGGTATGGTATGGTGTGGTGTGGTATGATATGGTATGTATGATATGGTGTGGTATATATGGTATGGTATGGTTTGTATGGTACGTATGGTATGGTGTGGTATGTATGGTATGGTATGTATGGTATGGTATGGTATGTATGGTATGTATAGTATGTATGTTATGGTATGGTATGTATGGTATGGTATGCATGGTATGTATGGTATGTGTGGTATGGTATGTGTGGTATGGTATGTATAGTTCGGTATGTATGGTATGGTATGGTATGTATGGGATGGTATGTATGGTATGGTATGTATGGTATGTATGGTATGGTACGGTATGTATGGTATGGTATGGTATGTATGGGATGGTATGTATGGTATGGTATGTATGGTATGTATGGTATGGTATGGTATGTATGGGATGGTATGTATGGTATGGTATGGTATGTATGGTATGTATGGTATGTATGGTATGTATGGTATGTATGGTATGGTATGCATGGTATGTATGGTATGTGTGGTATGGTATGTGTGGTATGGTATGTATGGTATGGTATGGTATGTATGGTATGTCTCAGGATACAGATTTACTGTAAGAGGTACTTTCAGATCTGCTTTAACCAGACTCAAACCCAAGCAGCAATTCCTAAACAGCACAACTCCTTGGAAGCAGATAGCTGTCATATCAGCAGCTTTTGCCTCCTCTGCAGTTATTTCAGTGTCAGCTGGGTTTATTTGGGGCTTTCAGTACCTCCTGATGACGGCTTGACAAAGACTCCAGATGAACTGTTTCCACTGCCCTGCTCTGACTTGGAGGGAAGCTTCTGATTTCCAAAGTAGCGAGCCAGAAGTATCTTCCTTAGCTCATGTTCCTGTGGAGGCAGAAATGATAGTTATTATTTATCTGTATCGCAGTTCAACAGAAGTCAGGCTTTGAATTTGGATTTCCACAGTTTTGACTGAGAAAGTCAACTTTCTGTGAGCTTTATGGGTAAAATGATTCCAAAGCCAATTTTAAAGTGGTTTGTTGTGTTGTCCTCACATATAATCCACCTGATCACTTCAGAAAACATTTTATCCACCTAATCACAATTATTCCATGGAACATTTCTGTTGTGATGGGATTGATGGACTGCAGGATGAAAACACGTTCATTCAACCTTTATTTAGACTTTTAATGAGAAAGAAAATGCCACTTGAAAACGCAGCAGTAACGATTTCGCTCAATACCTTGATCATAGCAGAGAACTTACAGGAAATTCACCACAGACAGAAGTTTTTTTAAAATAACATCAAAGGATGAGGCTATTTATAGAGCTTTATAGGGTTATTTCCTTAAAAAAAAAATCATCATTGTAAATGTCTCTTTTTTCTAATTTGAATGAAATCAGCAAAGACTGTGAACTAACTAACCCACACCATGAAGACACAAATGAAAACGAAGGCGACAATGTTGACCTCTCTCTCGTTGTCAGCTGTGGCATTTGATGCTGTTGAGTGGAAACAGAAAGAAAAACACTTGTAGAGATAATCTCCCCTGGAGGTTCTGAGATCAGGGGTCCAGAGACAGACAGACTGGTCAAACTCACTAGTTTGGTCAATGTGGTTTGTGAGGCAACAAAAAGAAGATGAGTGAATGGACGGACAAATGGACAGTTTGATGAAGGAGTAAGCAATGGAGCCACCTATGGTTTCCATGGTAACCGTTTCAAAGTGAACGAAGGTCGTGAGGTGTTGATCCAACTGGAGAGTTTCCAGTTTGCTCCTCACAACCATGATCAGGAAGAAGCAGGTACAGATAATGGATGGATGTAATGACAGCTTTGTCATCATCCATGACTCTTTTATCAGACTTGAATCAGCTGAAGTCTGACTTTGTGAAAAGCTAACGATAAAATAATATCTTACTTGCTGTAGATGGCAGTTAAAAAAAATTAACTACTCAATTTGGAGAAGCAGATTTTAATTCTGACCAAAGTGAACCGCTGCTGTCTAAAAACAATTTCAATTTAAAACATCTCATAGCAGTTCATGCGGACATTAATTTTTAAAGCGGTTTATAAAATGAAGAGATTGGAGGATGATGCAGGCTTTGTGTATGTCTATCAGCAGGACTGCATTAAAGACGTTATTTGTTCACAACCTCTTCATGGTACCCCACTTTAAAAAAGTCTGAACTATCACCCTAAAGTAATCTACCGCAAGTAATTAATATTTTGATTACAGTAATCATCATTTCATTTATGTCTTTAGTCATTTCAGCCGCAAACATTTAGTAATTTTGCTTATGTGCATGTTCTGTTATTGCAAATTTCCCACCATTATTAAAGCTGACAGGTTATGTGATAATTAATATCCAGTTTTAAGCGTCTCATCTGTGTATCTGTTGCTGCATTATGCACAACTGCTCTTTCTTAAGCCAAAATTTCAAGAAGCACAGACGCAGCAATAAGTCTCAACATAAATCCGTTCAGAACCGATTTATTCTAACGACACTAAAAACTTTCTCCATCAGTATTTTGACAGACTAAGAAACATTAAGTCTCCCATGTCCAACAAACAGTAAGGCCTTCTAGCTGAAAATCCTCCAACTAAGTGCGCAGAGAGAAACAAAGATGTGGAGGAGCATGTGCAGCCGATGCTCCCCGTGTCAGTAAACACTCGATCTCATCTGCAGTCAGCAGAGACACTTGTCTGCCTGCACTGTCTGGCTGAGCTGCCTCAGAAACACACACACAAACACAAGCACACTTTAAAAACTGAAGGTGACGATGCACTGATATTCAACGCTTCGCTCTTTAAAGGCATCACGTCCTAATAAAAGTCCTTAAGTACAAATTGAAGCACGTTTTAGTTGATTTTTCCTCTTTTTTTATTTGACAGAGATCATGTTGGTTTTGATGCTCTCAAACAACAGTTAAAGAAACACTCTAGTAGGAGAGGGGTAAGAAGGGTGGGGGTGATTTCTCTCCCCGTTTGCCTTTCCGCTGCAGTTGTAGCCAGCAGACTGCATCGCCCAGAGAGGAGAGAAGAGTCAGCCCAGCCTGACTCATCTGCTCGCTGCTGCATTGATGAAAAAAAACCCAACAACCTCCAGTCAGGTGATGTAAGAGCCACGAGAAAGAACGATTGAAAATAAGAGAAGTTCTGATAGAACTAAGGAGAAGGAAGACGATTTTTTTTGGGGTGGGGGGGTGGGGGGTGGGGGGAGCAAACACAACCCCAACAAGGAGCAGGCAGTCGTGATGCTTTAAAATGTGCACTGGCACGCCACACTGCGGCTCCGGTGTCCAAGCTGAGGATGAGCTGCCGTTCCCCACCGCCAGCATTTTTACACCCCCCTTTTCCTCCCTCCCTCCCCGCTAAACATCTCGCACAGCTCTGCTCTCTTCAAACCTCAAAGTGTGGAGAGATTAACAAACAAACAACAACAACACCAAAAAAGAGACAAAGACGCTGCTCTGTGCTTCTTTGGGTGGACTGAAACTCATGCAAGTAGCAGAGGGTAGCGCCAAAGTTGTTCCGGTCAAATCAGGTTAAGCCACAAAAAAAAAAAAAAAAAAAAAAAAGCTTTCTGAAGAAATTAAGTGCTTTTGAAGCAGGGAGGGGCATTGATTTCTGTTAAGGCTTCAGCAGCGTGTTTTCCTTATAAACCCTAACTTGAGCATCAGGAAACATCAGTTCAGCCATCAGACCTTCCTTAAGATGAAATGACAAATTCTCTAACATCATTACTAGAACATCAGTTCAAGGAGGGAATGCTGAGCTTTAATCAAGTTACAGATGTTGCATGTTAAAGGGTAAAAAGTTGGAAATTGGTTTTGGCACCACACTAAACAGAAAAGATGTTACATGTTGTGGCGCTGATTTTGCAGCACAGACTCTCCTTTTAGGCAGCCTTGTAGGATTCAGATTAAATGAACTAATTTGGCATAAAGGAATGGTTTTTATGAGCATTGTGATATAAAAGAGGTTTAAGAAAGAGATTATTATTGTTATTATCAATTGATTTGACTACAGATTCATTTGAATCTTGTAATGACTCTGGGTACAATACAAATGTATGCTGAATTTCAGTCTGACTGTTAAGGTCATTTAAGACTCCAGATATATCCAGGTGAACTGTTTCTACTTTATTTATTTTTTTCCTTTTCACAAGTTGTGAAATGCTGAAGCTCTGCTGTATTGTACCTGGGGCCAAAAGCACAAACAATATGGGTTCTGCAAAAGAAGCAAACATCACGAGCTGCAGTTTTACAACTTTTTTAAGCTGTGGTCCCACAGCCCATGAAACGATTTTACCCAACAAAACAAATTAGACCCACATGAGAGAGCAATTGGTGGTTCAGGGAAATACAAGACCAGCGGCATAAACAAGTTTTTATTACCAGGTTAGCTGGTGGATAACTATGGAAGTGTTATTCACTAACTTAGATCATCAATGATTGTGTTTATTAGAAAGATAAAGTTGAAATTGGTTGGCTTGTAAGTGAGGTTTGTACATTTTGAGAATTCCAGAGTCTGGTAAGTAATTCCAGTGCTGAACTCATTTTCTATCTATGATCTATGTAAGGTTTTGGTTGTATGGTCTTTTCAACTATGAAACACCTACGGTTTTGCACAATAACTGTGTTCATGTCCATAAACAAAACTAAAAGCTACAACTTCATTCCTGTGGCTTGAGATCATGTATAGTAGTCCCTCGCTACTTCACGGTTCGTTAATCGCGAATTCGCTCTATCGTAGTTTTTCAAAATAAGATTGGACATGACACACAATTGGCTGATTGATGGATGAGCTGCACGATCGGCATGGAATTTTTATTTAAAATAAATTATTTTAAATTATTTAGCACCTCCTGCACCTCTGTGCAGCCCTTACTGCAGGATAAACTTCCTTCTGCAGCTGATCAGCTGATCTGTGCAGAGTGGAGAAGTGGGCGTAGCCGAAAGCATTTACAGGTTGCTGAGAGCAGCAGAGGCACAGAGAGGGAAATCATGACATTCTGTGCTCTTTTATAGAGTTTAGAAACATTGTTTAGGATATTGCAAGAATGTGGGAAGGGTTTAAAACACCTTTATAAATATATATATA